CTACCCCAGAATGTGTTGCCTCAAATTGTTTAGTGTGTGGCTGTTGTGAAATGCAAAAGGCCCCCTAGTAAATTACAGCAACTTATTCTTGCAGAATATTTAATTTTGATTTATTTTTTTTTAATTGCAGACAAAATACACGCTGATAGATGAGCAAGACATTCCTCTCGTAGAGAGCTACTCTTTTGAGGTAAGAATAGGGGTCTTCATCTCCTGTGTTAATTTTCCAGTTTTTTCTTAGCCACTCTGACAAGCTGGATGACCTTCTCCCTCCCTCTTCCCCAGCCTCATTTCTGAAGCACTTCAGTTCCAATATTCCAAGGTTTTGTGCGCAAGCCATTGTTGACGTTTAGTGGTTTGACACTACAATGAGAACTGGATGGTTTCTGGGCCCACCTGTGTTTTTACAGAAAATGTGGATTGTATTGTGATGTGGCCTTGAGTTAGAGCCACCAACCTCCCTTGGTGCTTTCAAAGAATAATCAACATTGATTGGTCTCTAGGCTCTTTATCTATGTATTTATTTTTTAAGACTTCTATTAACTGTTATTTTTAATTTCAATGAAAAACCTTATTCACTGACTTAGCGTCGCGTTTTGTAATATCCATATTGTTAGTGATCTTGGAAAGTGGACGGGTGTTCAGATGCTTCAAAAACACAGAATGAATTCTTCTTTTCTGTCCAGGCTCGAATGGAAGTTGACGCCGACGGGAATGGTGCTAGAATCTTTGCTTTTGCGTTCGACAAGAACCGAGGGAGGGGATTCGGGCGTCTGCTGCACGAGCTGCTGTGGTAAGTGAGGTTGTGGAGAGGAAACACAGCTACAGGTTTCCAAAGAGAACTGTGTGTGTAAGGTGTGCTTAGAAGTGTTGCAAGTTAAGAGAGGTAACTGCTTAATGAGGCTCGTGTGGGTTATACATTCAGAGGGATAGAATCAAGGTGACGTGAAGTATTAATATTGCTCTATAAAGCGTTAGTAAGACCACCCTTAGAATATTGCTTGGGAGAATTCTTGCTGTGAAGAAGCAGGTAGTAGTAATCTTAAAACTTGTTTAAAACTCTTCAAAAATAAACTCGGCCTCCTCAAAAGAAAACAAAAAAGGGGGTGAATAAAAATAATCTAATTTACCCTGTGTCCATTAATCTAACATGGTTGAACCCAATTTGCATCATCTCAGCAACTGCAGCCCTGGGGCCTGCTAAAAACGTTAGAGGGTGCCGGGAAGTCCCTATTTCAACGGGACTTGGAACTGAATTTACAAAAGGGCTTTATGAACTTAGAGGAACCAGGAACTTGTAAAGGTCTTACAAAACCAGTTAGCTGTACAGGTTGCCCACGAGTTTATTTAACGACCGTTCAAAGTTACAACGGCCCGGGAAAAAAGTGACATGTGAGCGTTTTTCACACCACGGTGAATGTGATCCAAATTCGGACGTTTGGCAACTGACTCGTACTTATGACGGCCGCAGTGTCCCGGGGTCACGCGATCCCCTTTTGCCAACCTTCTGACAAGCAAAATCAATGGGGAAGCTGGATTCACTTATTGACGTAACAACTGCTGTGGTTTACTTAACAACTGTGGCAAGAAAGATGGGGCAAAATTCACTTAACAAGCGTCTTGCTTAGCAATGGAAATGCCGGGCTCCCTTATCATAAGCCGAGGACTATTTGCGCTCCTTTCTGCTTAGAATTAGGCTGCAGGTCCTTGGGTGTTTTCATGCCAGCCTAGATTGGCAAGAGTTCCCCATACCCAGGGTGTGAGCATCACCATCCAGCCGACCCCTGAACTGTAGACTCTGCTATTTCTTTTCAGGGAAAGACACCGGGGAGGCATCGCCCCAGGGTTCCAGGTGGTGCATTTGAATGCAGTGACCGTTGACAATCGCTTGGACAACCTGCGATTGGTACCGTGGGGCTGGAGGCCCAAAGCTGAAGAAATCTCTAGCAAACAAAGGTAAATTCTCTCTAAAGAGATGCAGAGGGAGCAGGAGGAAACAGAAGTGAAAGTTTAAAAGCGCCCTTAAGAATGGCCACGATTTCCTTGCCTTTCTTTGCCTCTTTTCTGTTTTAAGTCACTTGTATCCTGAGAATCCCATTCTTTCAGGGGGAAGAAAATTCCTCCTTGTGTCCGTAGCTCCTGTCAATGTTTGGGTTTTCAAAGTGCAGGGTTGCAATTATAGATTACAAGGGGGTGTAAAAAATTGCCCTTTGAAGGGAGTCACGTCAAGAAATGGACACAGTGAAACAAACGAGGATTCGGGCTAGGTTGTTATGGTGGGATAGAATAACAGGATCTTGAAAGCCTGCCACAGTGTCTCTTTGGCTTGTTTTATACCAAACTGAATCAAGACACTCCAAGCTGCTCACGCCTTAAGTTGCTTCTCTTCCATCGTTGGCTCAAGGTTATTTCCACACTGCATAAGTGTAAAGAATCCGATTCTGTGCCTATAAGCCGCTTTGCCCTGGCATGATGTGGAATCAAAATCTTTTTGTCTTTCTTCGGAGCAGCGAGCTCGTCAAGAGCGCCGCGAGATAAAAAACCTTCCTTGGGCATTCAAGCCTATTTTTAATTCTTGGTTGCTTTGCATATTTCATGGGTAAGAAAGCTGGTATCCGCTTTAAATAAACTCAGCGGACGGAGCGACAAATAGAAGGGAATTAAATCCGAAGCATTTTCAGCGGCTGGAAGAAAACTTCAGGATTTTTTTAGGATCCTAGAGACACGTTCTTCAATAATAGTTCAAAAGAACCAGAGAAGTGTTAAGATTGGCTCAAGTTGTCTTGCTGTTTTGAATGAAATATTTTGCTTCTTAGAATATTTGGGTTGAAATGGGGGTCCTTAATGCGTGCCTGGCTGAGGAATTCTGGGACTTGAAATCCACAAGTCATAAAAGGGCCAAGTTTGAAGGCCCCTGATCTAAATCCTTAACTGTGTGAAAGGACGCATTTCGTTATCTCACCTTGGCAGAAGAAATGCTTAACTGCTGCTCTTGCTGTTGTTGTTGTTGAAGGGAACAAAGCTTATACTGGCTGGCGATACAACAGCTTCCGACTGATCCCATTGAGGAGCAGTTCCCCGTATTGAATGTCACACGCTACTACAACGCTAACGGAGACGTGGTGGAAGAAGAGGAGAGTTCCTGCACGTACTATGAATGTCACTACCCTCCCTGCACAATGATTGAGAAACAGGTACGTGCCCAGCCTGTCACCGGGTCTCCTGGGGATTGGCCCAGAGTCACCCAGGTGGTTTTTTAATGCCTAAGCTGGGACTAAAATTCACCGTCTCCTGGTGATTAGTCACTCGGCCAGCTTTCATGCCTAAGGCGGGACTAGAACTCACCATCTCCTGGTGATTGGCCCAAAGTCACCCAGCTGGCTTTCATAGCTAAGGCAGGACTAGAACTCACCATCTCCTGGTGATTGGCCCAAAGTCACCCAGCTGGCTTTCATGCCTAAGGCAGGACT